TCTGCTGCACTTAAGGTTCCGAAGAGCACAGTGGCCTCCATTCCTTAAATGGAAGACGTTTGGGATGACCAGAACCCTTCCTAGAGCTGGCTGTCCGGCCAAACTGAGCTATCGGGGGGGAAGAGCCTTGGTGAGAGAGGTAAAGAAGAACCCAAAGATCACTGTGGCTGAGCTCCAGAGATGCAGTTGGGAGATGGGAGAAAGTTGTAGAAAGTCAACCATCACTGCAGCCCTCCACCAGTCGGGGCTTTATGGCAGAGTGGCCCGACGGAAGCCTCTCCTCAGTGCAAGACACATGAAAGCCTGCATGGAGTTTGCTAAAAAACACCTGAATAAGATTCTCTGGTCTGATGAGACCAAGATATAACTTTTTGGCCTTAATTCTAAGCGGTATGTGTGGAGAAAACCAGGCACTGCTCATCACCTGTCCAATACAGTCCCAACAGTGAAGCATGGTGGTGGCAGCATCATGCTGTGGGGGTGTTTTTCAGCTGCAGGGACAGGACGACTGGTTGCAATCGAGGGAAAGATGAATGTGGCCAAGTACAGGGATATCCTGGACGAAAACCTTCTTCAGAGTGCTCAGGACCTCAGACTGGGCCGAAGGTTTATCTTCCAACAAGACAATGACCCTAAGCACACAGCTAAAATAACGAAGGAGTGGCTTCACAACAACTCTGTGACTGTTCTTGAATGGCCCAGCCAGAGCCCTGACTTAAACCCAATTGAGCATCTCTGGAGAGACCTAAAAATGGCTGTCCACCAATGTTTACCATCCAACCTGACAGAACTGGAGAGGCTCTGCAAGGAGGAATGGCAGAGGATTCCCAAATCCAGGTGTGAAAAACTTGTTGCCTCTTTCCCAAAAAGACTCATGGCTGTATTCGATCAAAAGGGTGCTTCTACTAAATACTGAGCAAAGGGTCTGAATACTTAGGACCATGTGATATTTCAGTTTTTCTTTTTTAATAAATCTGCAAAAATGTCAACAATTCTGTGTTTTTCTGTCAATATGGTGTGCTGTGTGTACATTAATGAGGAAAAAAAATGAACTTAAATGATTTTAGCAAATGGCTGCAATATAACAAAGAGTGAAAAATGTAAGGGGGTCTGAATACTTTCCGTACCCACTGTATATATATATATATATATATATATAACAATTTAAAATCATAACTATGAAATGATTATTACTGCTGTTGTTAATTGAGTCTCAAATGTGCAGTTTTGTCATCATACTCACAGCAGTGAGACCTTCATTATTGCAGATATTAACATCAGCATTATACTCTAACAGTCTGCCCATACACTTCTTCTGTCTGTGAAAATATAAGACCACATGGGAAAATGGGACATCATGGGACTCAACATAAATGCATTTCTAGGTTACCATTTTTGCATGCAATACACACAAATGCGTAGGCTATGTAAACAAAGCATGCCTAAGAGGCCATGGATTATGATTATTTTTCTTTCTTGATCTTCTTTCGTGATCTCAACATAACAAAAGTTGTTGTTTTTTTTTTACAATGATTGTTTGATTTTTAAAACACAATGTGTCGTGAGTCTTCTGTTGCTATAGTACGAACACAACTTTGACACGCATCTGACCGACAGATAAACGATGCGCTCTTATACTGTATGTTGTCGATATTTTAGCTAATTTTGCTTCACTTAGTAATAACGTCTACAATCAATAAATATAGGCTAATTCATCACTGTTGATTTTTTTTTCCAGAGACAGTACCTTAAACATTTTGTTTGTGTAATTAACATGCTTAAATGGTCTAACAACAAAGCATCCAACACCGCAAACACAGGCGGAGCCCTTCAGAAAGATGCAGAGAACTAAAATCTTTTTGAGCTGCTTGGATTCAACTCACTGTATTTTCCTCATTCGCTGTATTTTCAAAATTATATATAATTTGTGATTTTTAGCCATGTAGGATATGCTGTGACTGATATCATGTGTGTTACAAGCTTGGGATGCTGTTTGAGAAGTGTGTGTGTGTGTGTGTGTGTTTTCCTACAAAGAAATGTAGAAAATACAAAAGATTACAACACTGTAGAACATCACTTAATTAAATTAGCCTATATATATTTTTTTACATATATAAATCACATTTCCTTTCAATATAAATTGAATGATTAATGATAAAGATTAACAATAAGGACAAAGATGCACATTACAAATACGTCATAAAAGCGCGTCCTAGATAAACAACATCCCCGCTTATTAACTAACAATCATGTACTTCAGAGATGCACAAATAAAGATATAAATGCAAACAGAATACTATACAGTGATGTCAACCTTGGTTTTAATAAGCAATAAGTTTAATATCACACCGAACGCTATAACGGTAGTGAAACTGTGATGAGTCATCTAGCAGTAAGAACGTAACGATAACAGATACACTTTCAAACAAAATAATCATATTGATTCAAGCATTTCATATTTATAAGTTACTTAAATGTCAGTAATGAACAATACTGCACAAATTATAGCGATCACGAGGAAGGTCCTTATTCTATCCCAAATGTGTACAGTAAAGTGGATATACAGTATACCAGTGGTTCCCAACCCTGGTCCTGGAGGCACCCCAACACTGCACATTTTGCATGTCTCTTTTCTCTGACACACCAATTTCAGGTCTTGGAGCCTCTACTAATTAGCTGATGACCTGAATCAGGTGTGTTTGATTAAGGAGACATGCAAAACGTGCAGTGTTGGGGTGCCTCAAGGATCAGGGTTGGGAGCCAGTAAAGTATACAACGCCCCATCAGTTATATTCAGTTCTACACTGCCACCTGTTGGCGCAGTTGTGTAACTTGGAGAACAACTTTTGCTATGTCGAGATCACAAGAAAATAAAGTTGTGATAACGAGAAAACAAGAAAGAAAAAGAAAAATAATCCATAACCTCTAGGACTTCCGTGCATGCGGGATAAGGACTAAGAAATGTAATTTGTTATGCTCCCAGCAGGTGGTAGTACTGGAGTTTATAAAACCCTCATCTACCCGTTTCTTGCAGCCAGATGCAGAGGTGTGCAGCCGGAGATATCCTGATAGTTTGGATTCGCTCCACGCTTTAACAGCAGGACAAGACACTCTACTGATCCACAGCTGAAACCACAACAAAAACTTCAGAGAACATGATCAAACTGGGTCATCAGAATATTACAAATAAATGTATTTAGGAAACACCCGGAAACCACTTCAGCGAGAGTTTTAGAATTTTAAAAGAGCAAATAGGGAACACATTAAAAAAAGAGGACGTGTAATTTCTGTAATTTTTTGTGATTGTGAAAAGAACAAAACTCTTACTTGGCAGCAATATGTAGAAGGCTTCTTTTAACACGTCCAAATGCGTAGTTGACATCAAACTTTGAGTTTAAAAGCAATTCAGAAACTGACCTATAAGCAAAAAAAACAATTTTAAATGAAATTAAAATGGCAATAAACATAACACAATTATTACATTCAGCTGTGTGGCCCAAGAGACGGGAGATGACTGCCGCCCAAAGATGATGTTAAGCTTGACATCCTCTTCTTTATCTTCCATTAAATGTACAGCTGTTGATCATTGAGCCTGTCATACATTCTGTACTGGAAACGTTGTACTGGGGAAGCTGCAGGAGTGGGTGGCCTTTTGGGTTTTGTTAGACAGGGACTAGACAAGTTATTGTGTGTCTGCTTCTCTTGGCCTTTTGTTAAGTCATTAATTGTGTTCCAGTTACATGCACAGGGTAACGGTGACACTTACCTGTGCTGGTCAGCCATGACCATGGGCATGAGGGTGTACACGGCTGTTTCACTGTCTATAAGAAGAAGAATACACATATTTCAAACATATTTTCTGCCAAACTATACTTGCAAACAGCTTTGGTAAATGGAAAATCTTATTATAAAATGTAAAATACATCATGTATGCCGGATCAAATAAAAAATATATAGTTTTACAATAAAGAAAATAAATTGAAAATCACTAAAGAGAGCAAAGTATACTTTCCACATGCATTACAGACATTTATGAATCATTTTACAATTTAGCATACATATGCTCATTGATGTTACTTTCTAACAATTTTCTTCATCATACATCCATTAAGAGAAAATAAACAATCTTATACAAATAATTGTGCACCCTCCTTTTCAATTTGTTTGAAATTACCTTGATGCCCTTTTTTTTAATGACGTTTAAATTTAAGAAGATATTTTATTTTGTTCATGTCCACAAAAATTCTGTCAGCTATGTTACTGAAATAATAACCTCCTGCAACTAAAAATGGTTTATTATAACGCCACGTGACCAGCACCATACATTGCTATTTTCTTCTGTGGTGGACAATTTCAACACAGTAATTTAAGTGTCCACCTATTTTTTAAATTTTTTTTCTCTCAATATTTTATCTGCAATAACATATTGTCAAGGAGTATATCAGTTGAATGTCAACTATTATAGGTACATTGTCATGGTTTGCAATATTTTTTTATGATTTCAATTCTAATGCATAATCAAATTTGAGGTTAACTTGATCAAGAAAATAACGTGGTTGGCAAAACAAGGCCTCCCATTGAAATAATGAATTAATAAGGTGAAACTGTCAAGGTTACCAGTTACGTAAGTTACCCCACAGAGCCAATTTTAGATGAAATGGATGTCATGACACTTCTGCATGACGTTGTCCACAGATGATAATGAATTGTCCATCATAATTATTTTTTCTATGTGTCAGAGAAAGTTGGGTGTGTGTGTTTGTCTGTGTGTGGGAGCAAACAATGTGTGCAATATTTAATGTGTCCAGTTTTACAATGGTCCATTGCCATAATTTTAGTGTATATATTACATCCACATAGGTTGAAATTTTGAAACTTTAATTCTTGTAATTAAGTATATTTCTCATTATAATCACTTGTCTTGATACTAGTAAGCTATAACACATCATATTTTATTAAAACCATATTAATAGTAGGCCTATAAATAGTTTAAAAACAATATAAATATTCTAAATGAGATGTTTATTTGTATATAATATAGATTAACGCTTTAAAATATTAAAATAAATCTTTAATACTTATAGGGGAGAGTGGGGTAAGATTAGCCATTTTTTTTACTTATGTGGTCCTCAAGATAAGTTAAAATGATGCAGAAGTACAATGAAAGTATCTATCCTAATGAAAGTATTCCGATCATTTTAAAAGATCAGAATGTATCTATGACAAAGGGTTCTAAAAAATATGGCTTTAAAAAAAAAGTGTTCTCATGGCTCCGTTTGCTCCGGGTTAAGTTGACCCGAGTCGAGTCAGTGGGTAAGATGCACCATCTGGGTGTAAAATGACCATCTGACCAAATCTGATTCAAAACCATGTGAAATAAATAATTAAAAAAATAATTTAATAATTTCCTTTTACAAACAGTCATCTTTCTTTTCATAAAGTTAACTTTAACAACATAAAACCAACAAAATGAAGTTTAAATTTTAGTATTTAATTGTTTGCATTTCTGAAACAATATGTTAAAAACCAAAGTTGTAGCCTTCCTAAAACCAGACTAAACAGAGAGTTTGTTGGCCGTTAGTGACTACAGGTGGAAAGATATATCTGATTATAACAATTCTGTGTTTTTCTGTCAATATGGTGTGCTGTGTGTACATTAATGAGGAAAAAAAATGAACTTAAATGATTTTAGCAAATGGCTGCAATATAACAAAGAGTGAAAAATGTAAGGGGGTCTGAATACTTTCCGTACCCACTGTATATATATATATATATATATATAACAATTTAAAATCATAACTATGAAATGATTATTACTGCTGTTGTTAATTGAGTCTCAAATGTGCAGTTTTGTCATCATACTCACAGCAGTGAGACCTTCATTATTGCAGATATTAACATCAGCATTATACTCTAACAGTCTGCCCATACACTTCTTCTGTCTGTGAAAATATAAGACCACATGGGAAAATGGGACATCATGGGACTCAACATAAATGCATTTCTAGGTTACCATTTTTGCATGCAATACACACAAATGCGTAGGCTATGTAAACAAAGCATGCCTAAGAGGCCATGGATTATGATTATTTTTCTTTCTTGATCTTCTTTCGTGATCTCAACATAACAAAAGTTGTTGTTTTTTTTTTACAATGATTGTTTGATTTTTAAAACACAATGTGTCGTGAGTCTTCTGTTGCTATAGTACGAACACAACTTTGACACGCATCTGACCGACAGATAAACGATGCGCTCTTATACTGTATGTTGTTGATATTTTAGCTAATTTTGCTTCACTTAGTAATAACGTCTACAATCAATAAATATAGGCTAATTCATCACTGTTGATTTTTTTTTCCAGAGACAGTACCTTAAACATTTTGTTTGTGTAATTAACATGCTTAAATGGTCTAACAACAAAGCATCCAACACCGCAAACACAGGCGGAGCCCTTCAGAAAGATGCAGAGAACTAAAATCTTTTTGAGCTGCTTGGATTCAACTCACTGTATTTTCCTCATTCGCTGTATTTTCAAAATTATATATAATTTGTGATTTTTAGCCATGTAGGATATGCTGTGACTGATATCATGTGTGTTACAAGCTTGGGATGCTGTTTGAGAAGTGTGTGTGTGTGTGTGTGTGTTTTCCTACAAAGAAATGTAGAAAATACAAAAGATTACAACACTGTAGAACATCACTTAATTAAATTAGCCTATATATATTTTTTTACATATATAAATCACATTTCCTTTCAATATAAATTGAATGATTAATGATAAAGATTAACAATAAGGACAAAGATGCACATTACAAATACGTCATAAAAGCGCGTCCTAGATAAACAACATCCCCGCTTATTAACTAACAATCATGTACTTCAGAGATGCACAAATAAAGATATAAATGCAAACAGAATACTATACAGTGATGTCAACCTTGGTTTTAATAAGCAATAAGTTTAATATCACACCGAACGCTATAACGGTAGTGAAACTGTGATGAGTCATCTAGCAGTAAGAACGTAACGATAACAGATACACTTTCAAACAAAATAATCATATTGATTCAAGCATTTCATATTTATAAGTTACTTAAATGTCAGTAATGAACAATACTGCACAAATTATAGCGATCACGAGGAAGGTCCTTATTCTATCCCAAATGTGTACAGTAAAGTGGATATACAGTATACCAGTGGTTCCCAACCCTGGTCCTGGAGGCACCCCAACACTGCACATTTTGCATGTCTCTTTTCTCTGACACACCAATTTCAGGTCTTGGAGCCTCTACTAATTAGCTGATGACCTGAATCAGGTGTGTTTGATTAAGGAGACATGCAAAACGTGCAGTGTTGGGGTGCCTCAAGGATCAGGGTTGGGAGCCAGTAAAGTATACAACGCCCCATCAGTTATATTCAGTTCTACACTGCCACCTGTTGGCGCAGTTGTGTAACTTGGAGAACAACTTTTGCTATGTCGAGATCACAAGAAAATAAAGTTGTGATAACGAGAAAACAAGAAAGAAAAAGAAAAATAATCCATAACCTCTAGGACTTCCGTGCATGCGGGATAAGGACTAAGAAATGTAATTTGTTATGCTCCCAGCAGGTGGTAGTACTGGAGTTTATAAAACCCTCATCTACCCGTTTCTTGCAGCCAGATGCAGAGGTGTGCAGCCGGAGATATCCTGATAGTTTGGATTCGCTCCACGCTTTAACAGCAGGACAAGACACTCTACTGATCCACAGCTGAAACCACAACAAAAACTTCAGAGAACATGATCAAACTGGGTCATCAGAATATTACAAATAAATGTATTTAGGAAACACCCGGAAACCACTTCAGCGAGAGTTTTAGAATTTTAAAAGAGCAAATAGGGAACACATTAAAAAAAGAGGACGTGTAATTTCTGTAATTTTTTGTGATTGTGAAAAGAACAAAACTCTTACTTGGCAGCAATATGTAGAAGGCTTCTTTTAACACGTCCAAATGCGTAGTTGACATCAAACTTTGAGTTTAAAAGCAATTCAGAAACTGACCTATAAGCAAAAAAAACAATTTTAAATGAAATTAAAATGGCAATAAACATAACACAATTATTACATTCAGCTGTGTGGCCCAAGAGACGGGAGATGACTGCCGCCCAAAGATGATGTTAAGCTTGACATCCTCTTCTTTATCTTCCATTAAATGTACAGCTGTTGATCATTGAGCCTGTCATACATTCTGTACTGGAAACGTTGTACTGGGGAAGCTGCAGGAGTGGGTGGCCTTTTGGGTTTTGTTAGACAGGGACTAGACAAGTTATTGTGTGTCTGCTTCTCTTGGCCTTTTGTTAAGTCATTAATTGTGTTCCAGTTACATGCACAGGGTAACGGTGACACTTACCTGTGCTGGTCAGCCATGACCATGGGCATGAGGGTGTACACGGCTGTTTCACTGTCTATAAGAAGAAGAATACACATATTTCAAACATATTTTCTGCCAAACTATACTTGCAAACAGCTTTGGTAAATGGAAAATCTTATTATAAAATGTAAAATACATCATGTATGCCGGATCAAATAAAAAATATATAGTTTTACAATAAAGAAAATAAATTGAAAATCACTAAAGAGAGCAAAGTATACTTTCCACATGCATTACAGACATTTATGAATCATTTTACAATTTAGCATACATATGCTCATTGATGTTACTTTCTAACAATTTTCTTCATCATACATCCATTAAGAGAAAATAAACAATCTTATACAAATAATTGTGCACCCTCCTTTTCAATTTGTTTGAAATTACCTTGATGCCCTTTTTTTTAATGACGTTTAAATTTAAGAAGATATTTTATTTTGTTCATGTCCACAAAAATTCTGTCAGCTATGTTACTGAAATAATAACCTCCTGCAACTAAAAATGGTTTATTATAACGCCACGTGACCAGCACCATACATTGCTATTTTCTTCTGTGGTGGACAATTTCAACACAGTAATTTAAGTGTCCACCTATTTTTTAAATTTTTTTTCTCTCAATATTTTATCTGCAATAACATATTGTCAAGGAGTATATCAGTTGAATGTCAACTATTATAGGTACATTGTCATGGTTTGCAATATTTTTTTATGATTTCAATTCTAATGCATAATCAAATTTGAGGTTAACTTGATCAAGAAAATAACGTGGTTGGCAAAACAAGGCCTCCCATTGAAATAATGAATTAATAAGGTGAAACTGTCAAGGTTACCAGTTACGTAAGTTACCCCACAGAGCCAATTTTAGATGAAATGGATGTCATGACACTTCTGCATGACGTTGTCCACAGATGATAATGAATTGTCCATCATAATTATTTTTTCTATGTGTCAGAGAAAGTTGGGTGTGTGTGTTTGTCTGTGTGTGGGAGCAAACAATGTGTGCAATATTTAATGTGTCCAGTTTTACAATGGTCCATTGCCATAATTTTAGTGTATATATTACATCCACATAGGTTGAAATTTTGAAACTTTAATTCTTGTAATTAAGTATATTTCTCATTATAATCACTTGTCTTGATACTAGTAAGCTATAACACATCATATTTTATTAAAACCATATTAATAGTAGGCCTATAAATAGTTTAAAAACAATATAAATATTCTAAATGAGATGTTTATTTGTATATAATATAGATTAACGCTTTAAAATATTAAAATAAATCTTTAATACTTATAGGGGAGAGTGGGGTAAGATTAGCCATTTTTTTTACTTATGTGGTCCTCAAGATAAGTTAAAATGATGCAGAAGTACAATGAAAGTATCTATCCTAATGAAAGTATTCCGATCATTTTA